AATATAGAAATTTTAGTATAATTAGGAATCATGTTTTCTTAATTGGATTATTTCTAGTTTTATTTTGTTGTTTGTAGTTTATTTTATTTTATTTGTTATTTTAAATTCCTATTTTCTTATCCATACAGTAGCTATATATAACAGATGGTGTATGGAAAATACTTAAGCTAGATTGAGTGAATGTTGATTGAAAATTGTCAGAACCCTAGTTTGCATCTTCCTCTCTTTGGATCTACACCCCAACCCTCCGATTTTAGTAAATCATTCCGTCAATAAAAGTCTCGAACTTTATGACTACGTATTTTGGAAGCTAGATTAGTTGGTCTTAATTTGGTGGTCATTTAAGAGAGGATCATACCACCCTGTCCATATACTTTTATTACTCCAATGTTGATAACCTTCCATCAATAGAGTGTTATGAATATTGTTTTGATTAGAGGTGATTTCTTATATGTCAAATCCATTTTGTAAGGAATGTTGATGAGAAAGATATCTTCATTTTTCTCCTTCGGACATGAAGCCTCTTGAAGTATATGCATAATTAGGAAGTTTGTATATGGAACAAGATTTTCATGATGATTGTTTCCTGTTGGTGTCAATTTATATAAATCACCTTGAGTTATCAATTTTTAGCAAATCAATCAAATGGGTAACAATCATCACATATCATGACAGAGTTTTAACTAAATTGTGACAGTATGCAATCGCAGGTTATCAACTACATTTGGTTAAAGCTGGCATAACAAGGAACTGAGGCAAACCTTCCACCCAACGGGTGGCATAAAATGGGAAAAGAAAAGGAGAAACAAGTTACTATTTGTTAGCTTAAAATCTTTTCATAGTCATACAAAATACGTGCGATTAAATCTCACCTTCATTTGGTTTTGGGGAGTCATGAGCAGGGGAGGACTAGTCTTGGTTGTTGTAGCCCATCACCATTGGACAAAAAACAAAAAGAAAAGAAAGAAGGTTTACTTTTTGGTTATAAGATTGTTGTGTTAGGATGACCCACTTGGTAAAACTTATTTGCAGCTTGAAAAAAGCATCGCAAACCCAATGTTAAGAAATAGCTTTTTTGAGTTGGAAAAATAAATGTTGAAAATCTGAAAATTTTTACTTTACTCCTAAACTTTTCAAAGTACAATTGCTTAAGCATTAAATTTCACAGTGCAAATAAGGTTTGCCAAATAGGGCCTTGTCCTTAATTGAAGATAGGATCCTTTTCATCGATGTCTCTATAACTTGATATATGGTATCTAGTAGTTTTGTTATCCATTCCTTACATTCTGTTCCGCCTACCAGCTGCTTGTTAGTATTCTTTTTTTACCCCACCCCCTTAGAACAAACTGTAGATGTGCCAAATTGATTATGAAGGTATTTGTTTCTTTAAAAATATCATTATTTTGTAAGCAAGATGTCTTTAAAACAAATTGTGAAAGGGAATTTGACATAATCAAATGCTAAAGGGAGATTTTGTTTATATACACACTTCTTGGAAAGAATTTGTTGGCAGTCAACATTTAGCCTCATACAAGAGTTAATCACTAGCTATGGGGTGACCAACCTACTGACCTGGAGGCAACCGAGAATGTTATATCGTTGGGAAAAGGACCAAACTAATGCATCGGAAAAAGATGTTACAAATGCATTCAGACTGATATAGGTAGTAGTTATATGAGGGGTTGGATATTTTGGTGAATGGTGAGAATATCCTATGTGACATGCATATATGCTTCTTACTTTTGGGAGGAGTTGTATTGTCTGGACAAATGATCCAGAGTTATTATGCTGTAAATACAAAATACTAACCTTTCATAGAAAGGTAGCATGCCCTTTACATAGTGAGTGCGTATTTGCATAATAACTGTTTGATTGTTTTCTTTCTTTCTTTCTTTCTTTCTTTCTTTCTTTAAAGTGAGCACCTATTTGTATGATAACTGTTTGATTGTATTTTTTCTTTCTTTCGTTTTTTTAATTTTATTGTTTTGCGTAAGTATATAATTGTGATGGTTTTTGTCATGCCCCGAAAATTAACACAAAATAGATTCATCAATTTTCATTGTTTAATGTGAACGGAATTAAGTCGCAATATTAATATCATCCTCAAATCTCCAACATTTGTATTCATAACCATCAAGAGATTTACAAAAGAATATTCCACATGCGACTATACATTCAACATTCCTAGTATATGAATCTATAGCATGTGGCATGGTATGTCAAGTACAAATAAATGCCCCCAAGGGTTACAAATTCCAAGGCTTAAGCCCGGTTACACAAAAGTGATTTTTGAACCCATACATATAAAGCTCTTGGCTTGTCAAAGATAATTACAAGAAGGAGAAGAGCTTTGTGCTCTCAAAATATATTCTACGCCTCTAACTCGGCGAGATCACCATATCATTTCCTGCACAAAATCTCATAGGGTGAGCACAAAGCCCAGTAGTAAAATCTCAACAAACTATATATATTTTATAAAATCTCATGGGATGAATGCATATGCCATGCCATGTTCAAAAACATATATTTTTCTCTTTGAAATTTTTGTGCATAATGCAATCTTGAGAATTAACAATTCAATAGGTTTCAATGTAGTTCAAAGGGGCTGTAAATATGACTCAAGTAAATCCCCAAGACTAGTGTTTGCAAGTAGGCATATCAGGCACTACCAAATCTTACCTTACTGGCTTCTAACCGGAGGGCTTAGGCACCCGCATGTGTGTGTTTCTTGTCTTACACCATGTGTGTGTTTCTTGTCTTACACCATGTGTGTGTTTCTTGTCTTACACTAAGGACACTCAGGCCAACTTAATTCTCAAACTACACCCCTTAACAGGATTTTTCACCATATTTACCCCAAAAACAAATCAATATGATCTTGTGTCACAAAACAATTTCATTTCTCAAAACCATACATTTTTTCAATGCAATATTCAATATCAATTGTATTAATGACAAAAATGGAATGGCTATGCAAATGCCAATGCAATAATAAAGTTCCATTTAAACATCTCAACAATATCAATTTGAAAGTTGAAAAAAAAAAATTTAAATCAAGTGCCAATGCTATATATATCTTTATCAATGCCTCAAAACTTTCAATTTCTCAATTCATTCACACAATCTTCCATTGTGATCAAATTCTGTATCTCTTATCAATATAACATCATAATATATTTTTCCAAGAGACAATATAATAATATCAACATTCATGTATTCTCCGCATGTTAAATATCGTTTTCTAAACTTGGTTTTCCAAGACAAACTAATGATAAGTTTTAAAATCAACTATTCTTATTTACTTCATGAAGTTCCCTCATTTGATACAACCATAGGAAATTTCTCCATCATTTCTTCATATAACAATTTACCAAGCACAAATTTCACCATATCTCAATTTTTTTCCAAAATCCTCAAATTCTAGAGTTTCCACCAAAATAAGGTTTTTGTTTTATTTTTGAAAAGATTTTTCCAAAAACAACACCCACAACTTAGAACATAACTCATATTCTCAAAAGTTTTGGGAAACGTAGATAAAATCATCTTCTAATATAAACAACACCCACAACTTAGAACATAACTCATATTCTCAAAAGTTTTGGGAAACGTAGATAAAATCATCTTCTAATATCATCTAGGTTTTAACAACCCAAAATCATAACTCAAACATATAATAAATGCCTTGAACAAAAATAATCTTGCAAAAATATATATATATATATATATTACTCAAAGATTATCCCTACTTCAAGCTTGGGAGTTGAAGAGGAAGAAAACCCTAGAAATCAAAGTTGACGAAAAACACAATCCAATCGGTTATTAACGCAGCCTTCGTCGCCCTCTTCGATTTGGTGTAAAAAGCCCGCGTTCAAACTCTTGAAGATTTGAGTTACATTTTAGAGAGAAGTTGGATTTGGGTGTGTTTTTAAAGAGAAGGAAAAAAAAAAGATGAATATAGAGAGAGGAGAGGAAAATTTGTGTAAAATAACTTTTGGCATCAGTTTTGAGGAAAATAGCACGAGTTTCGAGACAGACGCGTCAAAATCCACCCGGGCAGTTTCAATTCCGCTCGTGCGGAATTGAAACCCAATCCACATGAGCGGAATTTTTTGTTTCATGGGTAGATTGCTCTAGAGAGCTGTCAAGAAAACGTCACCAAAATCTGCTCGAGCGGTTTTCTACCCAGAAAATCAGTAAGACTCTACAACGATCCCCTCGGGTGGCTCCCAATTCCGCACGAGCGGTTTTGCCCAAAGACTAGAGTTTGATTTAGTCTTTTGAAACAAGTTCCAAAGGCCAAAACTCAAAATTTGCAACCCGGAAAAGTTAAGAGAGGTTAAGTAGGAGTAGAAAAGGAGTCTTAACGATCTGATATGGTAAACAAAACACCGAAAGAAATGCATACAATTCAAGCCCAAAACCCCAGGACATTACAGTTTTAATGCTTTAGATGTTCTGCTATGTGCTTAGTTTCTAGTAGCTTTTACTTGCTTTCTAATCCTTTTTTTCTGAAAACTCTCATTTCTCTCTGAATTTTCCCATGTGTACTCTTATTAATCCCCTCAATTAATTTTATCTGAAGTTACCCATTCCCAGGAACCTGGGCCTACTTACGCCATCCCCAATGGTTTATGGTTGTTCAAACTCACATTTGCTTATTTTTATGTGTAGCCTTTTATGTACACCTCACACCCACCCACATTTTCCTTATTCACGTGCTGTGGATTAAGGGATTGATAGGATGTGGGATGTGTTCCCTAAAGGAACTACCATTGAAAAACTAAATAAATAAGGAACTACCATAGTAATTCCATTCCATGCATGTGGGCAGCAACTGTGAAAGTAGGGATTGATTTATTTTTTTTGTTTAAATGCATGTAATCTTTTACCCAGTAACCAGCATGTTTCATGCCATTAATACTCCAATATCTTGCTGTTTTCCGGGCCTTTGGAGTTCTTTTATGTTTGCAGTTATTCATATGAGAATTTGACCATTTCAGCTCTGGTAAGTGTCAAATTATTCATTGGAGACAAGGCCACAAGGAAGAATGCCGTCCTTTTACCTCTTCTTACCAGAACAATGACGCGTTAGATGATTCCTACCAAAAGGTGTTGAAACAAGATGAATATGAGATTCATGGCAACGGCTTTGAGACCGAGGCGAGGCAGCATGCTAAATCAGTTCAAAATTTCGCTGAGGAGCCTCCTTTTTTAAATTCAGATTGCTCTCCTGAAGTATTTTGTGGGAATGATGACAGTGAAGTGGAGTGCCCTGTTGATGAGAAAGGCACAAATTCTAGTTCACATGAAACTGAGAGATCAGATGGGCATCAGTCCATTAATGTTTTCCCTGAGAAGTGTGTGACTAATCGTGTTAACAATGTAGATCAAAATGGGCCACCATCTTACAAGCACACAATTTTGGTTGATTCTGTGGATTGCCTGACTAATTCAGGTAAGTTGAATCAGATCAAGCCCGATTGTACTAATCATGACACTCAGTGTGAATCAACAAGCTCTTCTGGTTGGAGTGCCAATGGCTCCAATGAGTCTTTCTTTTCTGAGCCTTCTACCCCCTCTTCTGGTTTCTGGCAAGGAACTATCAACTCCAGTAGGCCCAAAATTGATGCCTTCGATGATTCTGCTCAGTCCAGTTCCAGTGGTGCTGGAGAAGCTGATGTGCCGGATTCTCGATCTTCTCCAAGTTTGTCCTTCAACATTGATAAGAATGCTGATCCCCCTGTTGATGTACAGGGTTCTGGTACCAAAACAGACATATCAGATGATACTCATTCAACTACTTTTGCGATCAAGAAGCCCATTCATGGTGCTTTTTTGTCAGAAGTAAGTGGAGATGCGTCAAATGGCAGGAGCTCACCGTTGTTGAGCCCTGAAAAGTCTGAGCATCTGGATGTTTATGCTAGCAGTGGTTCATCTGCACTGAAGCCCAGAGAACATAGATCTTGCTCATCTGGTGCTTATGCTTACCCAACTTCAAGTGCTGGAGGGCCTTCAATTAGTACACGCGCTTCAAAATCCAGTAACATGCAGTCCTCGAGCCCTGAAAGGTCAAATCACGTGGTTGATGACACGAGAAATACTTTGCATGCATTGGAATCTAAAAAAAGTGGATCTTTGTCGTCTAGTGCTTCTGTTGCTCGTCTATCGTCTAGCACCAGAAGACATTGTCTTCATGATGCAAATCCTGGGAAGGTTGATAGTGCTCATCCAGTTGCTGCTACTTCTGAGTACGCAAGTTATTCACCAAATGCTAGGAATGGCTTGAAAACATCAATGCGGAAAGTTGTTGACCAGCTCAGACCTTCTAAATCCTCACAAAACTATCAGTCAGGGGTTGGGAATGAGATTGCTGGAAGATATGACAATAAGGTTAGCAAGAATCTTGTTATGCTATATTGTGCCTGCAACTTATATATTTTGGGATGTGATACACTAAATTGGATGTCTTTGGTTTTACAGGGTTTGTTTCCATACAAGCTGTTTGTCAAACTTTACAATTGGAACAAGATTGAACTACAGCCATGTGGCCTGACAAATTGTGGGAACAGGTCAGTTAGAGTAGTTCCTCATTCTGGAAAAGCACATAGGACCTTAACCTGAATATGGTATTAGGAAAATAAAACCCCGAGGGCTAGCTATCCTCTCTTTTTTCTTATGGAGCTGATTTTCCCTTATGATCTCTGACTCGTAATTTTCTTCTGATTCCATGTTCAATAGCCTGATCTTGTCCTTATTCACATTATTATATCCTACGGAGCATAGGCACTTCTGAGAAGATGTCGTGTTTGCATTGGACATCAAGACTTACTATACACTTCCTGACAAGTTTCAGACACGTCTCAATGTGTCTTTATATTTTCTATTTTTTTGTAGACTTGGATTACAAGTTTGTAGAAAATAACTTAGGATCCACTAATAATAGGAAAACATTGTAAATTTATACATATTAATCCTTCCTCCTTTAGACTTGAGGAATTAGTGTTATGTTTTATTTTTTTATTATCTTTGATTTGAATGAAGTATTTACATATATGATATGTAATAAATATATAAAAAACTATATATTTTGCATGTCCACCACATGTCATGTGCTGCATTTTTTGAAAATTTCGAAGTCTGCTTGTTCATGTTGTATCACATGTCTATGTGTGCTTCTTGAATTATATCGGATAAAGCTGATTATTGAGTCTTTAAATGGTTCTTATTTCTTTCTAGAAAATAGTATCATCTTAGTGAACTTGTATTTGATAATGTCACATATGTTTTCTACTGAAGTAGTTTGTGCTGCCACATTGAGGATTGTTTGCACTGTGTCATTTTCCTGTACTAAAATATTATTAAGATATTTGAGTGCATTAATCTTGCCTTAGTTTTGCAATGACTTGATTAAGAAAATTTGTTGATTTGGCAAATCATATTTATTGATATGAGTTGGAGCACATTAGTTCTCCAAACCATGATGCACAAATTCGGTAAAAGCTGTAGATGTTTTTTAATATCTGGTTTTAGTGAATTGCATGTCCTACATTCAGATTAAGGCATTTATTGTAAACATATGTAATAATAAAAAAAAGGGGAAATTACAAAAAAATCCCAGGGTTTGACCTTTCTAACAAATAAACCCTGAGTTTTTAATCTTGTCAATTTAAACCCTAAGTTTTTGATTTGTTTTCAATTTAAATTATTTGCCTATTTTCGTTAAGTAAAATTGATGGGAAAATGGATATTTTAGTCATTAAACTCAATGAAAAATGAAAAATGAAAAAGGGTATTTTAGACATATTATATATATCTACATTGAGTTTAATAACTAAAATACTCTTTTTTTGTCGGTTTTACTTAACAAAAATAGGCGAATGATTTAGATTGAAAACAAATCAAAATATTAGGGTTTAAATTGACAAAATTAAAAATTTAGGATTTATTTTGTTAGAAGGCTCAAACCCTAAGATTTTTTTATTTTTATTTTTATTTTTTGTAGTTGTCCCTAAAAAAATTTAAAAAATTTCTCACAGACATGCACAATGCAAGCACACAAGTTTAGTTCTTGTATAGGTCTATGATGATCAGTGGGCACATCTTTATACCTGACTTGTGTATATGCTGACTATGTATGGTCATTGAAGCATTTGTCGGCATATTGTCAAGATTACAAATCTTAGTGCCTTTTTTCTTTTTATTACCAATAGAGGAGTATATTTACGACTTATTTGTCATAAAATATTTAAGATTTTATTTTTTCTCATACTTATCATAATCCTAATATGGATCTAAATACTGAGAACTATGTCTTCGTGACACATGGAATTTCTTTCTTTTCTAGAGAAGTATTAGTGTGTGCTTTAGCCAATGATAAAGCTTTTAGTTATTAACTTATTTTAATTTTACTTCTCTTTTTTTTTTTTTTTTGTGTAACCATAGTGTATGGGAGAAATTGAAAAGGGTGTTGCAATAATTATGAGAGAAGTCAAAAGGGATTGCGGGTTGGGAGAAGTCAATAAATGCTGAGATTTTTTTTTTGTTAAATCAAAAAATTAGAAAATTAGGATTTTTTTTTTTTTTTTTCCCCCTTTTTTTTTTTTTTTTTTTTTGTGTGTGTGTGTGTGTGTCTCTCTCTCTCTGTCTTCATATTTTTAACACATGTATGTGTATATTCTTTTAATCCCCATGCAGCTGTTATGCTAATGCTGTGCTCCAGTGCTTGGCTTGTACGCCACCTCTCACTGCTTATCTTCTGCAAGGATTTCATTCTAAAGCTTGTATGTTTCTAATCATGACCTAATTTTCTGGATCCATCATGTGTGAGTTTATTAGTTTATTGAGTGACATGCATTTTTATTGTCCCATTCCATTCCTTTATTTTTGTCTTCGATGTTAAGGTGACAAGAGAAAATGGTGCTTCACCTGTGAATTTGAGAGTTTAATTCTGAAGGCGAAGGAAGGGACTTCTCCAGTGTCTCCAATTCGGATACTATCCCGGATTCAAAACATTGGAAGTCATCTTGGTAATGGGAGTGAAGAAGATGCACATGAATTTCTAAGGCGAGTTATGTTTGTTTATGTGGAGCATAATTAGATAAATTTATGCATGTCATGTGTCTTTATGATTCATCATGATTCAGTTAAGAATGAAATCCGCAGGTATGCTATTGATACAATGCGGTCCGTTTGCCTTAAGGAAGCTGGATTAAATGAATCAAGCTCTTTGGAAGACGAAACAACTCTCGTAGGCCTTACATTTGGTGGCTATCTTCGATCAAAGGTAGTCTGTGGTATAATGTTCAGAGCTTAATACAACTCTCTCTTTCTGTCTGTCCGTCTCTCTCTCTCTCTCATCTTAACATTATGAGAATGTTCTCTGTGGAATATAAATAATGCATATGCATTCTATGCCCTGCTCTCCAGATAAAATGCATTAAGTGTGGAGGCAAATCTGAGCGGCATGAAAGGATGATGGATCTCACTGTTGAAATAGGAGGAGATATAGGAACTCTAGAAGAGGCTCTACGAAAATTTACGGGCACTGAGATTCTCGACGGTGAAAACAAGTACCAGTGCAGCAGGTTCGTTAGTTTGTTTTAGTTCTTGTACCTCTAGAATATTACTTTTGTTATAATTGTTAGATTGTGACATTCATTGTTCATTTAAACAAGTATAATGGGGGATTTTTTTTTCCTTCTGCATATGGATTGTCACAAGTTATATACTATGTTGCACGGAAACGTGACACGACACAGACACGCCGACACGTTACTTTTCAAAAAATGCCGGACACGACACGCTAAGGACACATTAAAAATACATTTATTTATTTATATAATATGCCTCATATATATATATATATTTTGTTAAAATTATGAAAATTTTAATAATTTAACATTAATTAAAAAACATTACAAATGTACTTGCAGACAGTCACCAACAGGTGCAAGTTAGAACATCTAAAAAGCCATGAACCTTATCACACGAGAAAATATAAGCATTTCAAATAGCTATTTTGACCATTTGACTAGTAGTAAAAGCCAGCTGTTCTGACCATTTGACTTCTAGGTGGAAGCATTATTAATCTGGTCGGTGGAAAGCTTTAATGAGCTGTACACCCTGTTCTTTTCTTTTCTTTTCTTTTCTTTGCAATACAAAACAACTAAAAGGGGAGAAGTCAAACATTTGTTGCAACAGGAAGCTTCGATTCTCTCATTGCTAGTGGAAAGCCTGATTGGTCGACATTGAAGCTTCGACTCTCTCATCGCAGGTGGAACTTGATTTCAAGGACTTTCGTCTTCTTGTTCTTGTTCTTTTTCTGCTCCTCTCTCTCTTTGGTCTTGAAAGTGTCTAAGACGTGTCTGAGATGAAAAAAAAAGGGGCATGGTAAAATAAGTGTTGGACACGTGTCCACTACGTGTCAGACATGTGTTGGACACTGATACATGGTCTTTGGAGATGTGTCGGTGCTTCCTAGGTTATATAAATATGTACTAGTTGTGGTTGTAGGTTGGGTGGGTGGTGTGGCTGCTGTTGTTGTTGGGGTGGTGCAGTGTTGTGAAAAGCGTGCCTAGGCGCGAGGCGCAGCGCATGAAGTGCGCCTTAAGGGGTTCAAGGCGAGGCGCATTAGATGAAATGCGCTCCTTGGATGCGATTTTGGCAGGCCCCGAAAGGCACAAGGCTCGCGCCTAAGCGGGCTTTGTTTTTGTCGTTTCTGCTGCTGATCTAATGGCTGTGATTTGTCTTCGAAAGGCTCAACCACATAAGATTACAACTCATTCAATGAGTTACTCAACCCAAATCAGTAATACAACTCAAAGCCCTAATCGATCGAACAAATCTGTGTCGTCTCTCTTCCTCTGGGCTTCCTCTCTCGACTTCGACTTCGACTTCGATTTCGATTCAGGTCAGCGTTGCTTTTTCTTCTTTTTCTTCTTCTTCTCCTTTTCTCCTTCGCTGTTTACTGCTAGGCTTGGTGATTCGAATCGATTCGCCGACTTCTTCTTGATTTCGATGACGACCTCCCGTTGACTTCGTCTTCTCAACTTCGACGACTTGACCTCCCTTCGACATCGATCGCTCTATCTCTCTCGCCTTCGCCTCTCGCGAGCTCGCGATCTCTCTCTCTCTCTCTCTCTCTCGGCTTCCCTCTGCGCTTATCTATCCTCAGTTTGGTTTTTATGTTAATATATATACGTATTAGTATATATATGTACTTATATAATATATATAAGCATATAAGCATATATTGTCTTATATATTTTATCTTATATAATATATATTTATACATATTAATAAAAAAAACACAAATATATGTATATAAAATAAAAAAAAAATTAAAAAAATTAACAAGAACATATTATTTAAAAAAAATTTGTCTTAGTACTATGAATGATTGATCTATGTTAATTTATCTATTTTTTACTAAGACTGTGCGCCTTGCTTCAATAAAGCCCGCGCCTCGCCTTGCGCCTAGGCCTCGAGAGACCTTTAGCGCCTTAGTGCGCTTTGAGCTTTTAAAAACACTAGGGTGGTGGTGGTGGTGGCCTAGTGAGGGTGGTGGTTCTCTATTTCTTGGGCCATGGGGATTGTTGTCTATGAAAGCACGGATACTTCAAATGGGTTGACGTATCTGTTTCGGATACCGATACTTCTTGGATACTCGTGGATACATATCGGATACTTATTAAAAGTATCGGATACTTCTTAATTATTTTTTCATTAATTTTGGAATATCGGATACTTAATTTTGAAGTATCGGATACTCCAAGTCATATTTACTTGTTTTATGAAATTAGAATTGTAACATTTCTTGCATAGTAATATAATATAATATAATATAATTGCAAGTATAAATATAAGAATATTTTTTCTAATCCTTTGTTAAGTTCTTCGATAAAAATAACGTAGTGAGTTAAATAATAGAATTTATCAAATTGATGTATCATAATTATTTCATGCTTGTCCCCTATACTACATAGAAAGTAAGAATTAATAAGAGAATGTAATAATGGTAAAATTAATTATCAATAAATAAATAAGCAAGTAAACTTGAATACAATATTTTTCACTAGTGTCAAAGAAAAAAGTATAGGGACAAGTTGTAAATTGTTCGATTATTGTAATATAAATATATTAAACTTAATATTGAAATGAAATATTTATAAGACCTATTAAAAATTTAAGAAGTAAACAAGCTATTAGCTTAAATTAATACAAAATTCTTAAAGGTTAATATTTTGCATTATAAAATTACATTGTGGTTTCTCAATGTTCTTTAGCTTATGTGTAACTCACTATTAATAATTTTAAAAATATATTTTTCACAAACGTATCCTAGCCGTACCTATATCTTATTTTTTTAGATTTTATCGTATCGCCGTATCCGTATCGTGTCGTATCCGTATCTCGTATCCGTATCTGTATCTATGCTTCCTAGATTGTTGTTAGGTCACGTGGAATGATCTTGTCTACCCACAGAAAATTTTGCCATTGGAATCTCTCTCTCTCTCCACTCGTGTCCTGCTCTTCTAACAGGAGTGCCGCAAATCTACAAGTTCTCCCTCTCTCTCTCCCCACTTGTGTCCCGCTCTTCTAATAGAAGTGCCGTGATTATACAAATTCACATATTTTGGGTATATTAGTGTAACAGGCTTGTGTATAGTTTTTTATTTTATTTTATTTTACTTTTTGATTTTAATCGAAAAAAATTCAATCGAATAATTATTTTGTAATGGTTAAAAAATAATAATTTCATTCCATTTCACTAAATTTAATGGCATTCGGTTTTAGGGGCTTTCTTCTTCTTCTTCTTCTTCTTCTTCTTCTTCTCTCTCTCTCTTGTGTGGTCTCGAAAGTGTCCAAGACGTGTCTAAGCTGAAAAAAAACAGTCCAAATTGAGTGTTAGATGCTAATATATGGCCTTTTGAGACGCGTCGGTGCTTCCTAGGTTTTATATATATAATTGTTGTGGTTGTAGGTTGGGTGGGTGGTGTGGCCGTTGTTGTTTGGGTGGTGGTGGTTCTCTGTTTCTTCGGCCATGGATTGGTGCTAGGTCTTGTAGAATGACCTTTACCCACAAAAAATTTCGTTACTGGAATCTCTCTCTCTCTCCCCACTTGTGTCCTGCACTTCTAACAGGAGTGCCGCAATTATACAAATTCACATATTTTGAATATACTAGTGTAATAGTCCTATGTTTAGTTTAGTTTTTTTTTTTAATTTAATTTTTTATTTTAAGGTAGAGTTTGTTTTAATAGAAAAAAATACAATCGAATGATTATTTTGTAAGAGTTAAAAAATTATAATTTCATTCCATTTCACAAAATTTAATGGCATTCGGTTTTAGGGACTTTTGTTGTCTTTTTCTTCTTCTCTCTGTGTGGTCTCGAAATTGTCCAAGACATGTCTGAAATTAAAAAAAAAAGGGGGACACGCCAAACTAAGTGTCGGACACGTGTCCAATGCCTGTCAGACATGTGTCGGTGTCGGACACTGATATGTGGCCTTTGCAGACGTGTCGGTGCTTCCTAGGTTATATACTAGTTGTGGTTGTAGGTTGGGTGGATGGTGTGATTGTTGTTGTTGCGGTTGTGGTGGTCAAGTGAGTGTGGTGGTTCTCTATTTCTTGGGCCATGGATTGTTGTTAGGTCTTGCGGAATGGTCTTCTCTACCCACAAAAAATTGTCATTGGAATCTCTCTCTCTCTCTCTCTCTCCACTTGCGTTCTGCTCTTCTAACATGATCTTCTGTACCCACACAAAATTTTGCGACTGAAATGTCTCTCTCTCTACTTGTGTCCTGCTCTTCTAATAGGAGTGCCGCAATTATACAAATTCATATATTTTAGGTGTACTAGTGTATCAAGACCATGTACAATTTTTTTATTCTATTTTATTTTACTTTTTGATTTTAAGGTAGAGTTTGTTTTAATCGAAAAAAATACAATTGAATGATTATTTTGCAAAGGTTAAAAAATACTAATTGCATTCCATTTCACTAAATTTAATAGCATTCAGTTTTAGGGACTTTCGTGTTCTTCTTCTTCTCTCTCTCTAGTCTTGAAAGTGTCCAAGATGTGTCTAAGATGAAAAAAAAGGGAGTCGCCAAACTGAGTGTCCGACACGTGTCCACTACGTGTCACTATCCGTCGGACATTGATACATGGCCTTTGGAGAGGTGTCGGTGCTTCCTAGGTTATATATATACTAGTTGTAGGTAGCTTGGGTGAGTGGTTCGGTGGTTGTTGTTGGGGCGGTGGTGGTTGAGTTAGGTTGGTGGTTCTTTGTTTCTTGGGCCATGGATCGTTGCTAGGTCCCGTGGAATGATCTTCTCTACGCACCGAAAATTTTGCCATTGGATTCTCTCTCTTTCTGGTCTCGAAATTGTCTAAGACGTGTCTAGGATGAAAAAAAAGTCACGCTAAACTTAGTCTCGGACACTAATACGTGGCCTTTGGAGACGTTTTGATGTTTCCTAGGTTCTATATATGTACATATACTAGTTGGGGTTGTAGGGTGGGTGAGTGGTGTGGCTGTTGTTGTTGTTGGGGTAGTAGTGGTCTAGTGAGGTGGTGGTTCTC